CGCCCTGAGACTGGCTAGACGAACCGCCGCCGCCGCCGCCACCACCACCGCAACCACCTTGCCCCTGAACGTTCAGATGGGCGGATTTCGACACTCGGTTGTTGTACGCAGGACAACCACTGCAGCCTTCCGCACCACCAGTACCGTTGCACTTTCCACCCCCTGGACAGGTGCCTGATGGCGCCTGTTCCTCCGTCACATACGTGGGAGCGGGAGCACTGAGATATTTCGGGCCTGGACCTGGTGCTGGCGCAATCTTTGGGGGAGCCGTCCTGGGTGCCGCTGCAACAAGATGCGGGGGTTTCTTGAGGTTAGTTGGGCGTGATGCGTTTCTCGCCTTCTGATACAGGCCGCAAGCGTTGCATATCGTCGTTCCTTGGGGAGATCTCCTCCATAACGGTGTTCGTGTCGTACCACAATTACTGTAGCTGGTCAGCAAACGGTCCACAGGGGGTTGAACAGAAGCCCGTCGCCCTCTTACCTGCAGACTTGACCCGTCTGACCTGAAGAAGACGTTGTCGCCGTTGACGGTGCCGGGCTGGGTCTTGGTTCTGATCTCACGTCTTTCGGGGAGCCATCACTGGATACTGAGACCGGACTCCTGGCCTGTGACCTCGACATGGCGTCGCTCGACGGACTACGTCGGGAGTTTGGCCGCAAGGTCGCCGGTCCCTCAAGGCTCTCGCCTCGGCCTACTGGGCTGGGGCCTCTCGCCTGCTGCATGGCAGCGTAGTGCCCTCCTTCGCGGGCCTTGGGGGACATACGTCGTGATGGGAGAGCGGTTCGGATGGTCGAGGGGGGCTGTTTCGCCGTCCCCTGTGCCGCCGACGACATGCCATCGGCCATAGCCATTCGTAGAGAGCGTGGTTTCGGTCGAGGTGGGATGTACTAGCCGTAGGTGGTGTTGAAAGTAGTAGAAGACGTGTGTACCGTACTAATCGAGGCGAAGTGTAAGAGGACCTTGACGAGTGGGAAAGGGGGTATCGAGTACGTTGATTTGATGACTTCGTTAGGCAGAGACAATGCTTGGCCCGGAGAAAGGAAACGGCTTCGGAGGAGGGAGATAACTAGCGGCGAGACGGTCGTAGGATGGCGTATAAAGAAGTAGGAGAGAAGTTGGGCCCGAGTCAAACTTAGACAACCCCACCACGGTGCAAAAGGTGGTTCGACGGTCGGCAGTCCGGAGGAGGAGAGGGTCAGGGAATGGAATTGGCTCGTCCTCGAGTAGACGACAACGTCAGGAAGTGGCTGTGGAAGACCGGATGACGGAGCAAGAAGGCGGAATCGGAGGCCGGGGGAAGGAAACAAGCACCAGAGGGTCGCCACCGTTGATCCAGGGCAACAGAGAGGTCTCTAGGTGCTGATGCCTCTTTACGGGGTACACAGTGTGGTGTGAGAGGCTGAGGGGCCTACTGTACGCCAGGGGTCGGTTTCTTCTACAGCCCCGGATTCGGTTTCTTCTGCTCTACCAGGAAGAGGGGTGTGTGTGAGAGTGTTGCAGAAGAGTTGAGAGAGAGCGTACGGGAGCCTAAGAGGGTAATGATGGTGATTTCGAGTGCATGCTGAGGAGAAAACAACCGGCGTTGCTGGCGTTGACAGACATGTAAGAGCCCCTCGTCGACGTGAAGGGTAGCGAGTTCCTCTAGAGGGTTCACCGGGCGGTGAGAGAGCCTGAGAGGTATTGGCAGGTGTCTGGTGGGCTCTTTGGGGGGGGAACAGTTAGGTGGGAAAGGGGGGTGGGAGGTTGCTTGTGAAGTCTTGAAGCAGGCCAGAATTCTGGAACGGTGGAAGCCAAACTGAAAGCGTAGTGAACCTATGTTGATCTTGGACAGGGGCGGGTGTTGGTCTAGCGTGAGAGTAGTCGAGGCCACTTGTATGTGAGGTGTGTGCCAGTACTTGCGTAGGGCGGCGATGATGTGAGGGACGAGGAGGAACCGCGGTGCTGGAAGTGCGTGAGGTGGTGGCAGAAAATCACGAGAATAGACTGGACAGCCCACGCTACGGCTCCTGCCTGCGACTAAACTGCTGCGTCCGCGTCTGGGCTCTCTCCTCTCTCGCTTCCCAATGACGAGTGACGGACGACAAATGGGGGAAAATCGGAGCCTAGGTGCTGGGTCACCGTGGGTGATCTGAGCTGAGAGGTCACGGATTACAACAGGTGGTCGTTGATTGGCCGTGACGAGGAATGTCGCTAAGGCACAACGACAAGGGTGACAGGGGGCTCCAATGTCTTCTAATCCACCCGCCGGTCCAAAAATCCACCTAGCTGCGTCCAACATCGCGGCATTGATGGCACTTGGGTCCAAGAGACTTTTTTTTTTCTTTCTCCTTTCCTTCCGTGATCCAAGTATACGACTCAATCTGTGTACGTATTAAATTTTTACGGTTTCCGCATATGTCAGGAAAATAGTGCTTCGGCTGTTTCGTCATCTTGCCTGGTGCCACGAGGTTGAGTGCCTCGCTATCCATGAATCTTGTTCCGACATCTGGCCATATCTCACTCTTTCAAATCCTTTGACGAAAGCAGATCGTGACCAAGACACCACAACCACGATCCCTCCAGACCAGTCACCAAACATCTGAACCACGATAGCGACAGGCAGGGGCCCTATGAGACGATAAGTACCCAGGCTCCAGGTCTAGTCCCGAACAATACGGCGTAATTAGCCTTTCCCGGGCTGGCGTCGCCCAGACTTCCCTGCTTGTGCTGGCTGCTGGATGCTAGCAACTGGGTACTGGGGGGAAGACGCCGGTTCGCTGCGACTCCATCTAGCAGACGGTGGACACCTCCTCTGATTTGCTTGACTCTGGAATGGATCAATCGGCACGTCTGGCGAACATACGCCGTCTCCATGTCAATGCTGCGCCAAACCCTTGGAGGGGGGGCCCTTCGCTGTCCACCCCGCGACCAGGACGGAATTGACGAAGAATTTGTTGCGGTAACCTTAAAGCCGAGTGTGACGGCCCTGCCTAGCGCAGCATTGGCTTCGACTGACACGCGCGTGTTTGTGAACGTAGCACCAGTCAGGTAGTCCCATCAGGTCATCTTCCTGTCGTATTTCAGGACATGCTTCACCGACTGATACTGCAGTGTGCTGACATCCCTCTACTGTGTATGAGGCGTCAGCTTTACTCGTGTAAGAAGAAAGGACATCGTCCTCCCTCCCTTACCTATTCCTATTCGGATAGGCGGTATGGTAGCTGATAAAGCACCATTGTGCGGCGTACAAGTAGATGTGCCTAGAGACCTCGTGAGGGTGTGTCGACCCAGGTCCCAGCATCCTACAGCTGCATCATCTCTCACATCACCGGCACTCTTCCGCCGGCCGAAGCGAGATGCAGCACCTCTAATGGGGGGCCAACCTAACCCAAGGCGACGACCCCAGGAGCCCAGGGCCCCAGGGGCCATCTCCTGCCCGCCAGCTCGGTCTCCGGTTCCAATTGCCAGAAGACACTTCGCCCATGTGTTCTTGTGTCCGCGGGTGCGCAGTAAGGTATGTGTCCTCCAGTGCTCTGGAATCGAAACAGGGCTGTCCGAGTAGTGTAAGCCATCCGGCCCCCCCAAGGATGCAATGCAACACACCCGACGACGTCGGCTCTCCGACACTGAGCGGACGTACGCAGTAGGAATACAGGTGAGATGCTGTAAGCCCTGGCAAGTCTTGTCGAAGCAAGGTCTCCCGGGGAGGCGACTTACACCTTTCCGCCACGGCTAGCGCAGGCAAAAGTTGAGACACCGAAGTAGGCAGAGGAAGATGCGAGATTCCAGTTTCCCCGATTGTGACAAAGGGCAAATCGAGGATCCCGAGGATTTCGTTCAACTTGGGCTCTTGACCTATCATTGCACCACACGGTATAACAGTCACACGTGCCCCTTCCTTCTCTCGTAAAGTCGGCTGTAGGACTTTTTTCTCCATTAGCGCCTCGGTACCGAAAGAAGTAAACGGAAAGAAAAAGACGACAAAAAAGAAGAGGTACCTTTGCTCCAGAAGTCCCAGAAGGCAAGAACCATGGTCCATCAAACTTGCAGCGGGTGGACCAAGAACCGGAGTCCGGGTCCGAGTAACTGGCGAGCCCTCTTCCTTCCCGTCCAGTGACAATCGACATGAATAAGCTGACAGGGTCCTTTAGAGGCGGTGACGAATGAGGCAATCGGGGGTCATGCCAGTTCCCCCAATTTCACTCCCCCCAAAATGCCTTTTTGTTTTTCTTCCTTTCCTTCCTGCGAGAGAAAATACGTAATCCCGAGGTCTGGCAGGGACCTCCCCTCGGTGATAGGAGCAAGGGCCATTGATCAGACCGGATGATCAATGATAACAATGCAACCCGCAACGGCAGTGTAATTTGATGTTGTGTGTGCCATGTGGTGGCTTGAGCTTCCATCTCCTTCCAAGGTCCGAGATCTCATGGATGCGTTTCCCCAATCGACGACCCCTCCGCCCTCGGTGACCGAACCTCCTCAACCTCCCACGGCTCCGAGATGCAATTTAACGCCGAGCTTGCTGCGGTTTTATTTTCTGTCGTTTGTCAAATTATCTATCTGCGGAGGTTTCGTATAACTGGTGAGACGTTCGAAGCGGGCATCAGCAACTAAGGTGAAGTCAAAATGCCGGATCCGAGGTGAGATACGCGGTCTTGTTCGGTGATAAAAAAAACAAGGCTTGTTGCAAATCTCGTGGGTTGGGGCACGTTTTTTTTCTCCTCCACAGTGCCCAGAAAAAATGTCGAGTAGCTTGCCGAGGCTCGCATCCATCTCCCGACAATTATTAGCCAATCGCCTCATTCTAAAATGTCATCTCGGGCCTTCCATTCAACATATCATGCCTGCCATCTTCTTGGCTGAGCCCGCGGAATAACTACTGGAGAAGAGAAACAATGGTAAAGCGCGTGTCAGGTGACCCATTGTGCTTCGAGAAGGTCTCAAATACTAAGGTACCTTAGCGTAGTGTGATAGCTTGGCAAAGTTTGTGTCATTATCAACTAGGTAAATGGGTATCTGCATCTAGTCCGCCCGTAATCATGAAAGGGGTATACGCATTCAAAGAAGTCCCCGTCGTACGAGTCATAAAGAAAAATCCCGAGGCCTGCTGACGACCGCATGCTAGCCTCATTCCTTCGTTCCATCGTATCAAGCGTCGGGGTCGCTGTCCCCGTCATTGAGTGAAGTGTTGAAGTCAACCTTCATTTCCATCATTGCGTCTCTCGCAAGGCAAACCACAATGGCGATGGTAATAGCATTCCAAACTGCCTGGTAGTTTTTGCTGAGGCCGACCTCCACCTGGTAACTGACATGGGCCTCGTCCCCTTCTTTAGCAGAGTCAATGGTAAGTACCATGACGGATGTGTTGACGATGAAAAGTCCATATATCACTGGCGGCCGGCGAGTATACTGTTCTTCCTGCCCATACGAAGACTGACTTGCCGGACTGAAGAGGTTCCAGCCCGGCATCTTGTCCTTCTGGTTATCGTCGTATTTAGTTCCGTTGCTAGGAGAAGTCGAGCGGCGCAATGCGCGAGGTTTCTTTGGCGACGGCGTCTGATACTTGTCGGGCACAAGAACAACTCTATTGTCCTCGATTTCGGCATCTTCATCCTCGTCTTCGCGATAGTCAGGATTCGCTAGATCATTCCTCCAATGAGCGCGATGGATAGCAGCAGCCGCCTTGAGACGTAACTGCATGTGCTCCTCGATAGCCTGAGGCGACATTTTCGTATCCACCATGTCGATGACGAGATTCGGCAGATACTCGAGACTGTTGTATCCTCCGTCTTGTTCAGCCCACTTCGTATATTCGTGGAGTTCCTTCTCAATGAGAGCGCGTGCTCTGTGTCTTTGGCGTGTCTGGCACAAGGCTCGCACATTCGCCGTCAGCTCAATGAGCCGAGCGAGTGCTCTGGTAGCTTCAGACTGTTAGCCGTCAACCTTCCTTGAGTTGTCTTGATTTTGGATTCTCACCTTTGAAGTCATTTCCACTTCTCGAGTTGATGACGGGTGGGTGGGCATCAGAGCTTGCGAAGAGAACATCCGGGATGGGGATCCCTCGAAAGTCCATATCCCAATGCGATGGTAGTAGAGGACTGTACTGCCTCATGTACAGAATTTGGAAGAGTCTGTTCTCTTCGTCTGTCCAGTCGTCGCTGCCCGGGAATAGTTTCCTCTCCTCGTCCATCTCGTCCAGCTGCCGCCTCTCCTCGTCCTTTTCCTTTTCGCTCAAGACATCTTCTTTTCTCTTGGAAACTTTGCGCGGTGTCTTTTTGACACGGCCGGACAAGATTTTGTCTGATCCCGGTGTTCCGTCTCTGCCAGCACTCGTGCTCGTCGGTGGAGTTTCGGTGAGTGGTGTGGCGCTAAGACGACTGCGAGCGAGTGGTCTACTGATTTGCGGAGTGCGTGCCGGTGAGGCACTCCCCACTGATTCCGATGATTGTCGATTCATGTCCAAGAATAATACGGTGGTATTGGTTGCGCGCGAATTGTAGTAGTGAGATTCAAGTGACACTTTGCCAATTTCGTGGTGGAAGTCGAAGTTGAATAAAGTTCAATAATTGGTGGCACTGCGAGAGTTGCGCGCTTTTTGTCATCTCACGAAGGTGCTGTGTGAGAATGGCAGCTGCGAATATACATCTCTTTGTCAAGTCAATTCTCATTGCTTCCTCATCTGGAGACTTCTATTTTGACTACCTACTTGCAGTGACTCGGCGAATACGCAGGAAGCAAGGAGATTGCCGCCCCTCAAGTCGCATTGACCGTGAGTTTCGAGGAAAGCAGCAAGGTCCCAACTATTGTATTGTTTGCGACGGATGCGGCGTCCAAACAAAAAAAGCCGTTGATGTCCTCTGTTTAAAGTCGATGGCGACGCGGTGAGACAATGGCAATTGAGACAAAAGCCGCGCTTGCTGCAGGCGCTCTCAAGGTAAGGCACGGCAGGCAGCACTTGCCTGACAAGGTGTAAGTGTAAAGGCCCGTGCTCCTTCTTTACCTTGTGTCGTCCAATATTTTTTGGTTGCAGACCACGTGACTGATCTCCCGGCAGATAACCGGCCTAGCGAAAACTTGTGGGTCTGCTGGCAGAAATGACATCTTACCCAGACGAGATCGATCACTAAAGGTGGGAAGGAACCCCTGCACTAGTGACTTCCCTGCTTTATTAGCGTGCCTGCTTACAGTGGAGAGGCTCTGGTTTGCATGACGGGGCAATTTTTCAGGTCGCGACGACGCGCCTCAGAGCACTCAAGTGCCTTCACCTAGGCTCATTCACGTCCTGCAACTACAACCCGAATGAGCCAACATCGCTTTATTCCATCATACGAAAATCATCTTACCAACGCTGAGCGCTTCCTCCAGATCACGCGCCTGCTCTAAAAAAAACATTTCTACGAGTAGTCTAGCTATGCGCTAGCTTTTGCGCCAAACCAGCAGTTATTCATCATGAATTGGAGCAAGCAAACCGTCGTTCAACTCAAGGCGGAGTTGAAACGCCGAGGACTCGCCACCGCCGGTCTCAAACAGGAGCTCGTCGAGCGACTGACCACTAGCGACGAGGCAGCAGAGGAGGAGGTGCAGGAAGAGATACAGGAAGAGGCACAAGAAGAAGAAGAGGAGCCTTCCACAGAGCCTGAGCCCCAACCCGCTGAGTCTGCGGAGGCGCCTACCGAACCTACCCCCATCGACACCACCACCGAAGAGGCTGCCGATACTCAGACCACAACTGCGCAAGCAGCTGTGGCAAGCCCCGAACCCAAGCCCGAGCAATCGGCAGCCGAACCCGCAACCCAAAATACGGAGACGACCATTCCTGAATCAATCGCCGCCGCGAACCCTACGCCTCCTGCCCCCGCTGAGATAGCGCAAGATGCGCAGAAACGAAAGCGCCGATCCCAGAGCCCTGCCGAATCGTCAGAGTCGATTACTCACAAGCGCATCAAGGCAGACCAAGACCGTATCGAGGCAGACAAAGCGGACGAGGCACCAAGCTCAGAGTCAACCAGCGTTGCTGGTATCATAAACCAAGTCAAGGAAGGTGTGAAGGATGTCTTGAAGGAGAGCCTGGAGGGAGGTAGCGGCCTTCTTGAGGATGTTGCGAAGGAGGCAAAGGACACTTCGAAAGACGTTGAAGAGCTCGCGGAGAGCCACCCTATCGAACAGGACCTACCGACGACAGAAGCAAACGCCGAAGAAGACACGGAGATGCAGGATGAGCTTAACGGAAAGGTGGACGCAGTCTCTGCCGCCGATCCTGACCACCAACAGGCTTCAATTCACGGTCAAGAGCACCCCACGGACGGTCCGGTCACTGACCAGGAGCGACACGAGATTGCGCCAGCAGACGCCAATGACGCCATGGAGTACGAAAGAACAGTGCAGCCAGCTATCCACCCTGCTACCAGGGCTCTCTACATCAAGAACTTGATGAGACCACTGAAGGAGTCCACAGTTCATGACCGTCTTGTTGAGCTATCAACTCCTTCTGGCGCAGAACCCAACTCGGACGATGTCGAGGACGTATACCTGGATTCCATCAAATCTCATGCATTTGCAGTATTCAGAACTACGACTCTGGCTTCGCGTGTCCGCAACGCGTTGCATGACGTCACCTGGCCTGATGAAAGCAACCGCAAGCCACTGTCGGTGGACTTTGTGCCACCAGAAAAAGTGAGGGATTGGATTCATGAGGAGGAGGCTGAAGGGAAATCCAACAGAAGCGCTCGATTCGCAGTGCGTTACGATATCGAAGACGATGGATATGTCACCGCTCGCCTGGTCTCTGGTAACGGCGTAACATCGGCTGAGCCAACTAGAGGTGCACCTGCAGGCCCAGCTGTTAAGGACGTCAATGCCATTCCTCTCGGTCCTCGTGGCGGTCGAGGATTTGAAGGAGCTCCCCTAGGCCCCAGAGGAGACTCCCAGCGTGGTCCCGGTCCTAGACCTCCACGACTGATAGAAAACTTTCCCGGAGGCCCTGTACAAACCACGCGAGCCCATCCTCCAGTCTCTTTCCAGGCCGTCTCAGATGACCTCGTCAGCAGACGACTGCGAAACATGCGTTCTTACTACACCAAAGATATCGATAGAGACATGGGCGCGGAGACCGAGATTAACCGCTATATCTTCGAAGAGGGCGACAAGTTTGTTGACCGCGGCCACGAGAACTTTGTCGGCATCCGGCCCCCACACAGAGAGGCTGAGCGTCGTCGACAGATGGCTGGCGGAGGACCTCCGCCGAGGGGACCACCTCCAGGCCGTGGTGGTAGACGCAGTGGTGGCAACGGCCGTCGCGGCCCCCGCATGGTCAGCGACAGGTATTTGCCGGGAATTAATGAGAGCGGCCCCTATCGCCAGGGCGACCGTGGAAACTTTGGTGGTTCTCGTCCCGACGGTGGCCGCCGTTTCCGTTCCGACGACCGTGGCAGCCGGTACTAGGAGCCAAAACCGTCTGTTCAGGGTGATCGATTGACTACTCCGGCTTCAATCATGTCTATGGCTGCGCCCCAAACGCCTTCCATGGCCATGCTCAGGCCTCCAGTGCATTTGCCTAGCACTTTCGAGTCCAATCGACGGCAACTTCACAAGTCTGAATGTCCCAACTATCTGGAAACAGATTACTGCAACTGTCCGTGGCGTGTCGATAATCCCAGCGATCCCCAAAACCGGATTACGGACCACTTTCCGCATTGCCGCAACGCCGCTGGCCATGGTTTGTGCTTTTGTCCCCTGCGCACTCGCCCTATGACGCCCCCGTTGGTCATCCCAGGCGGACCTGGGTATTCTTCGCCTTCGGGGTCATCGACGGTGATGACACCACCCCCAGCATGGGAACCCGCGTAGCAGAGGCGACTAGGGGTGTTGGTGGTGGAGGATGATCCTGAGCTCAACGACATTCGCGAAGAGGTTTGGATACAACAGGCTGCTGAGGCGCTGGCACGATTACTTCGAGCATCCCCAACTTTACGATGATCTCGGAAATGGTACCCCTCCTATCCTGCTCTTCTCAGAGCCAACCGGAAGATCATGGCAGGCATTCGATTAAAAAATACCAAGAAGGAAAATGGGTCATTGTGGAGGGAATGCGTCGAGGGGCCCCGTCGAGGGAATGCGTCACTTACGGAGCATTAGCTATATGCTCAACAACATCCCAAACTGCGGTCGGGCGGGTGCGGAAAGGATCAAACACACAAAAAATAGATTACGTCTAGACTGTATTATTCTCTTCTTCTTCTTCTTCCCCCCAAACGACGGTTCGAATTCATAGAGAGACGTGGGGACAGGCACATACCTCCACGTTGCGATACCACTAGCTAATTGAAGATGCTTCTTGAACATCGTCAAGGTTCCCACTGTTTTTATGCTCGTGATCGATTCATGGCGATCTTTGCACTCGACGAAGAGGATTTATACGTTCTCCAGACACCCGTCTCGTCAGCAGTCAGAATAGAAGCAACTCTTGAAACGGAAGTGTCTTCGATAGAGTCGAGCCCTAATACTTCCAGCTTCGATTTTGGAAAAGAGCGTAGTTGACAACGAATCAAGCAAAGAAGGAGAGTCCTTGGTTGATAATGCCTCGAAAGCCGTGTCTCTGTTGGAATATACTCCGTGTGCCCAGACCAAAGGAGAGGGCAGCTCAAGAAGAAGGGGGCCTGAATGACTGCGAGGACTCGATATGGAATGACCCCGTGACCAAGCCTCGGTGACAAGTTGTCTCCTCCACCCTCTCGTCTAGTCAACCTCCCCTGACAATATCCCACCTGCCTCGAGCGGCCCACATTTTTGCTCTCGTCCTTGGCTTTACTAGCCTCCTTTATCGTTCCGATATTGATTTCCAACAACACCATTCGCCCTGAAGATTTGGTTTACAGCCCATCTCAAGATCTCCTTGTATGTCGCGGGCCTGGATTTCCTATCTTCAGGCTCATGGTGAGAGTGGTACGCCTTGTAGGCCGGCCTATCGTATCATAAGTCATTCCGTCCAAATTTCTTTCGTCATTATTGGTGGTGTTCTTACCAGGCGACTTCGTCAAAGTTCTCCTCAGTGAGGCCCTCTGCGACAAAGCGAGGCACACCTTGGTACTAACTGTACTGCTCTTGCCGATCTGATGCCCAAGTTCTTGCAGTTCGCTCTGAAACGTTGGGACACAAGTTGAGGTCAATTACGTTTCGTAAAGCTTCCTAGGCTTTCTGTTGCACATCGCTGCTGAACTTTCCAAATCCCGACTGTTGAGGCGGCAAGGCTGTGGGGCAAACAGCGTTCATGAGAGGGCCTTCGATCAGTATCAGCTGTGACGGCAAGGACGTCGAATTCTCTAAATTGTCCGGGTAGTCTGTGAATATCTTGTAACAAAAGCGAGCTAGCCAGGAGCTCTGACGACCTATTTTGGCCGCATTGGAGAGAGTGGTCTCCCTTTGACGAACAAGGTCAGTGATATCCGACGTCTTCAGATAAGGCATACGAGCACGGCGACGCTTTGCAGTGGCATATGTCTCCCTTATTCGACCTGACAGGGAATTATAGTTGCCTGCTTTCAACTTATTGACGTCTTTGATCATCTCTTCCCAGTCAACTGAAAACAGGCAGTTTGTGTGAACAACACGCTTCCCACTCCGCAGAGTTATGTGTGGACAATCTGCAGGAGGGAAGACATAGGCGTCTTGCGAAATTGTAAAGACTCTGCTGTTCTGCCCAAACTTTTTGAACACGTAGCCAAGGTGCAAGGCTAGTGTTGACTTGCCGCTCGAAGGGCTACCACCGATACCTACGATGTAGGTTGGGATGTGAGAAGCCTGTCCTTCGATTGCAGTTTGTTCGCTCGATGCAAGATGTATACGCGAAGACGGTGGTGGAGAGGCAGATTCGAAGCTTGGCGGAGGAAAGTAGAACACCGGTAGAGAAGACGACTCCGATGGCGAGATGTTTCGATAGGCGCCCTCCCACTTGGTGAATACTCCCCAATTGAGCCCAGTGACATTGCAGCTCTGCGCCGAATTCTCAAAGTACAAAGGCGCTTGGACGAAGGGTTTAGGAGGAAAGACGCTTTCGCTACGATGAGGCATTTGAACTGGTCTTTGCCCTTCAAGTGAGGCGTCAGCAGCGCACAAGTCCGCCTGCTGACCATAGATTGGGTATATCCAGACTTTTAGCAGGGCGTCGATTTCCTCCGATTCCTCTGGTGTGAACAACGGACCCAGCTGCGAGGCGTCGGCAGCGTGAAGATCTTCCCATTTATCGTAGATGAGGTTCGCCCATTCATCGTAGGTGAGATCAGCCATGCTGGTTGATGTCGAAGAGTTGTCCTTTGGTTGAATCCCGGCTTCTGGAGTTGTCATTACGGATACGGAAAAGAGTATAAGGCGGCGGGATAGCTGTCGTTACGCTTACAGTATGTGCTAGAGTGACGTGGAAATGAAGTGCGTACGGTGAGTGATGGGCGTCCGAGAACTCAACGACACTGGTCAAGACCTAGGCTGGTCGTCGCCCTGGCATTGCCGTCCTGTGCAATTGATATGCCTGCCATAATCAGCACTTCTTCTTTCCCTCTGGCAATGGCAATCTTCATCTTACGTGGCGCCTACCACCGTGGTTGTACTGGTCGTCAGCTGCTGCTTCTTTAGCCTCATGTCACATGAGAAGGAACTGGGTGAAGAATGATGTTTCCATATCATGAACGTTTTGGGTTTCAATTTAGGAAAGTAGCTTTCTCAGAGCTGCTATGAACTGTGTAGTGAAAAAAAGGAATCATCAAATCCCACTTGATATGTATGCCCAGGGTCCAAATAGACCCCAAATCAACTGCCGCGATACCCATAACTACAAGACAAAAACCAAAAACCCCATTTTGCACCAGGACGCAAGTAACCCCTATTCGGATCACACACTACGGACTCAATTAAGCAGCCGCGGCGAGGGTGGTGGGCTCGACACCAACACGCTCCCTGCTGAGGATGTCAAGCATGAGCTGAGTGGGGCGGTTGTCCTTGAAGATCTTCTCGCTGTCCTTGAACATCTGAACGTTCTCGAGGTACTTGTCAAAGAGGTAGGAGCTGTCCATCGGGCCACCCTTGGCCTCGGGGTGGAATTGGGTGGAGAAGATGGGGCGGGTCTTGTGCATCATGCCCTCGTTGGAGCCGTCGTTGAGGTTGACAAAGTACTCCTTGAAGTCGCTGGGGAGGGTGGAGGAGTCGACGGCGTAACCGTGGTTCTGGCTGGTGATGTGGCACTGGCCGGTGGTCAAGTCGAGGGCGGGGATGTTGTGGGCACGGTTGCCGTACTTGAGCTTGATGGTGCGGGCACCGACGGCCAAGGCGAGAAGCTGGTGGCCGAGGCAAATTCCCATGATGGGGACGGGGGAGGTCTCCATGAGGCGGCCAAGGTTGTAGATGGTCTCCTGGCAGTGAGTCGGGTCACCAGGGCCGTTGGAGATGAAGACACCGTCGAAGTTGCTAGCAACCTTGTGGATGGGGTAGTTGTAGGGGAAGACGGTGACGGAGGCGCCACGGCTGACCAAGCTGCGAAGGATGTTCTCCTTGACACCGCAGTCAATCAGGGCAACGTGGAAGCGGGCGCCAGGGGACTCGACAACGAAGGGAGCCTTGGTGCTGACACGCTTGACCAAGTTAATGGCACCGGGGTCGATGAAGCTCTCGTCCTCGTCGGCGTCGTACTCGTCACCAATAGTGATCCTAGCGAGGGAGGAACCCTGCTCACGGAGGTAGGTGACGATCTCACGAGTGTCGACGCCAGAGATGGCCGGGACACCCTCACGGGCGCACCAGTTGCCCAAGCTCTCAACAGCGGTCCAGTGGCTGTACTCGGTGGCCACGTCTGCGACGACGACACCGGCACACTGAATGTGAGGGGACTCGAAGTACTTGAGGAGGTTGAACTCATCACGCTGGTTGGAGGGCACACCGTAGTTGCCAATCAGGGGCTGGGTGAAGACCAGAATCTGGCCACGGTAGGAGGGGTCGGTCATGGACTCGGGGTACCCGACCAAGGAGGTGGTGAAGACGGCCTCGCCAGAGATGTTGGAGTTTGCTCCAAAGGCTCGGCCGGAGAAGACAGGGCCATCCTGAAGGAATTGTTAGCAAGCTTGTTTCTATCATGGCGAAGTAGGTAGATATTTCTCGGTGGTGACATACTCGGATGGTCAAGGTGGCGTCGAGGTTGGCGACGGGGGTGGTGGCACGGGTCTGGGTGAAGGGCATCTTGCGGCCCTTGCTACCAGCGGCCTGGCCGGAGAGGAATCGGGTCTGAACTCGGAGGCCGGAGCTCAACCCGGCGGCACCGTTGGCCGCGGGCTTGGTGAGGGAAGCCAATCGGGAGAACATGTTGGCAGTGGTTTAGGTAAAGGTGTTGTAGAAGAAGTTGCTTGTGGTTTGGATAGGCACTTTAGGGGCTGGCAGCCTTCCACAAGTGGTCTGTTGGGGGGTGGGAAACATGGTCAGTCTCGCGTGCCACTATGGAGGGGCGGTGAGTCAATCGAGGGTATTATGCTAACCTGAGAGATAATCCTGAAGATAGCGAGTCAGCAACCGAAATTTAGCAATATTAATGATTGAAGGGAAGCAATGCGTCTTCAGTGCGAGCCAACTAGACACCAAGGAGCTTCAATTGGGCTGTGAGTACCAGCTTGAGACAGAGTTTGGCTGCGGGGTCAAGAGGTATCACGAAGACGACGAGCTCAGACGAACCAGCAAGGGAAGGATTGGATAGATAGAGAGATGAATGAAAACCATCTACATACCTGAGAGGTGAAGACTGAAGGACGCCCGTTCATAAGGGCAGCTTGCAAATGGTCAATCAGTAGAAGAAGGGTAGTGAAGTGCTCGAGGCGAGGCTGTGGAGGGATGATGGCTGGATATAATCTGTGACGAGAGTGTTGCACGATGCGGCAGGATTTTTGGATCTGGAGGAGGGAAAAGGGAAGGAAAAAAAGAGAAGGGAAGCGGTGGGAGGAGATCGGGTAGAAAAATAGGAAGCACGAGCGCCGGCACACGGAGTCACACAGATGGAGCGCAGCAGGTACCTCAGCAAACGGGGCCCCTCTTCCTCCACCTCCACCACCGCTCACCCCGTCCGTCACCCAGTTCCCAGGTATTCAACGTCAGGTCAAGGTCACCATGGCAGGCCACAGCCAGCAGCAGTACTTGGGTTTGGGGCCGGGCAAATTTTTTTTGGGGAGCTTGTCATTGGACCCTTTGGGGAAAGATCGGTCGCTGATTAGCTAGTCAACCAGTGAAGGGGGGTCAACGGGCCCCCCGTTGTGAGGATGCCTGCAGGGGAAACTCTCGCCGCACCAAAGC